ACATATAGCTACATTCTCTTAATTCAATGAATAGAAAATTTGTTCTGATAGTGTTTGTAAACAGGATATCATGTCTACAACAGTACGCAATGTATTAATTATTGAAACTGTCCTACTAATCATATCTGAAACTGTCTGATTGCTATTTGTTTCTCAATAAAATTACTGAAAAAAAAAAAAAGAGGCCAACTGGGTAATTTAAAATGTTGTGAGTTTGACCCCACTCCACCATAAAAAAGCACCGAAAAGGCTGTAGACTGCAAAGATAGAGCTGAGATCTCCATTGCCAAAAATAAAAAATAAAAAAGATGTCCTGAGCACATCACAGGAGGTGGCAGGTTCTCGCCCTTTACAGCCTCAAAATCACAGGGGTGTAGAGACTGGTTTAAACAAGTATGTCTAGTGGCCAAATTGACAAGCGATAGATTGTAGCGGTTGATACATTGTGTCAGCTTGGCTATATCAGCTCAGTGGTTCCATGTCCTAGGGCGTAGGAGGCCCTGCCCCAGGGGGTGAAAAGGGCCTGCTCTAGGGCACAGAGAGCCAGTTTCAGAGTGACTCAGCACAAAAAAGGTATATAAAATGGTTGAAAAAGATTTTGTGTTCCATTTCTTCAGAGGAACTTTAGTCTTCACAGTCAGCTTGGACATCATCTCCTGGCTTCCAGCACAGACTTTTTGGCTTCCGGCTTAGTTCCTTCAGCTTTCTGTCAGATTCTTCAGCCTTCCAGAAACACCAAGAATTTTCCTAGTGTATTCACCAAAAAGTTATAAAAGGTACCTAGTTTTAAAAGGTACCCAGTTTACTGGAAAAAAATTCATAGTGTACTCAACCATTCAAGTTGATATATTTGGCTTGCAGGAATGGAGGTTGGAATGGAAGCTGGTTACTATTTGGAAGGTGAATTCCCTTCCATAAGAACATCAGGAATCCAGCTCTCTAGTGTCCTTTCTCTCCTTGAGAAAGTCTGTAGCCCACTAGGATCTGCTTTTGGCTTACTAGGTCTTATCATTTTCAGAACTACATACTGGCCTAAGGTTGTTTGTTTCTGTCTTTTCTTTAATAGTGTTTCTGCAGTATGACATGACATTGTCACTAAGCAAAAAAATGCAAAGATTGGCTTTTTTTGTTTTCTCTATAAATGTCCATAATTCTGTCCATTTTATCAGGATTTCCTTTGTTTCAGAACTTTGCTGCACTGACTATTTTCTTTTTTTTTTCTTTTTTTTTTTTAACATGTATTTATTTTGTGTGTGTGTGTGTGTGTGTGTGTGGCCAGCTCAGCCCACCAGGGGGCGGGGCTGGCTGGCATGTGGTGCTGGGGGATTGAACCGCGGTCCCTGTGCTTTGCTAAGCTTGTTCTAAGTAGGTGCTTTAGACCACTGAGCCATCTCTCCAGCCCCAGCACTGACTATTGATACTACCTGCCCCCTTTGGAGAATGCCCCAGCTGCCATTCTCTGTTGCTTAGTCAGAAGTTACTAAAGTTCCTCTGTAGACAACCCCTCTAAGTGTTCCTTTACCAGTTCCTCGGCATCACCACTGTCTATCTGCAAGCTTATGGACTCTGATACAGTGATAGTGTCATCAATAAAAGGGTCAGTTGAAGGCTCAGGCTCCTTTACACAGCTTTCAAAGTCTCTCTCCTGTATAATTTTAGGCCAACTTTCTTTCAGGAAGATCTCAAGATCCTTAGAGAGACATTGGCCCAAGATTTTTCAATTAATCTCATACAGGAAAAGACATTGTAATATTCCTCCCAGAATGCTTAAAGTGTTAAATCTGTGTCTGAGGCCATCCAGAAGCACTTCAGGAACAATTCCTTGATGTTATAGCTTCTTGAATTTAGCTATAACATGCTGGTCCATAGTCTTCAGTAGAGGAGTTATATTAAGTCAGAGGAACTCAACTGAGAGCCATGGTAATTCTTCAGCCAATTCTTCTTCCAAATGTCATGGATAAGCAGGATCACTGCCCATGATGAGAAAAGCCTTGAGTACTAAATCTCTGTCCTTTAGATATTTCTCAACAGTAGGACAGAAAGCCTCCCTGACCTACTCAAGAAAAAGAACTTTTGTTACCCATGCTTTTGCATTAGGTCTCCACATGATTCCTAGCCTATTCATCATGACTTTGTTTTCTAGATACTCTTGGGGGGGCAGTCTTAGAAAGAAAAAAAACAAGAAAGGTTTTGAGGTCCCCATTTGTATCAGAACATCACAGTAAGATTAGCCTATCCTTCATAGGCTCATGGCCTGGCACTTTCTCCTCTTCCTGGGTAATGTATGTTCTCTTGGGTATTTTCATCACAATTGAAAACTTGGTGATAGCAAAAGTCATTTTTCTGTGTCATCATTACAAAGTGTTATATCCTGTGTAATTTTCAGCAGCCCTTTTTATTAGCACTGGCTGCTTCACTATACATAGTTACACTATGAACCTCAGCTTTCACTTTAAAATTGTGAACCCCCCCTTACTGACAGAAAATGTTTCAACATTATCATTCATTGATGGATTATTCTTTATAAGATCTGTATTTATAACCTTAACTTTTTATAACTTAGAGAAGGATATATATATATATATATATATATTTTTTTTTTTTTTAAACTGAGATTTTATTTTACTATAGAAAGAATACTTATCATCTGTCTTAGTTACTCTTTTCTCATTGCTGGGACAAATACCCAACACTCAAAATGAAGGAAGGAAAAGTTGATTTATCGCACAGTTACTAGAGATTTCAGTACATATTCAGCTGGCTCCAAGGCAGCGCAGCACATGGCAGAGGGCAAGAGCAAGAGAGCCTAGAAGGCTATATAATCTGCTATTTGCCTTTTATTTATCCAGACTAAAGGTTAACCTTTCTAATTCACCTAAACCTGCTGATGGTCACTTACTAATTTGAGTAGCACTTTTAATAATACCAGCTTCCTTACATAAATCTTTTCTCTGTAAGATTGTCAAGATGATTGATTTTGACACGTATATATCAGCAAGATTGATCACATGAATGCCACTCGCATATTTCTTCATAATTTCCTTCCTTTTTATTGTGATTATTTTCTTTACTTTTCCTCCTTCTTTAGATTCTTTTCCAGCTTTCTGGTGGCCATTCTGATAGCAGTAATTATTGCAATTATATAAAGCACTTGAGCTGAGCTAGTAGAAAAGAATTCAGCTCTGAGTTCCTCTATGACTTTCTGCTGTTGCTTATTTACTATCGATGCTATTAATTCATACATATGAGCTGAGCTAGTGTCCTCTGCACTTGTTCTGGGTGGGCATTGGGCTTCCTCTATATGTTTCTGCATTTGTTTCTTTATTTCAGAAGCCATTGATTCATTGCTTTCAGCTGTGTGATTCCCAATTTGTTCTGTGTTAGTGTTCTCTGCACTTAGCTGACACTGACAAAGGTTCTACAATCTGAGGTACAGAATCTCAGGATAAATCCTGAGGGGATTTCACTGACCTTATCAGACCCAAAAGCTACAACTTTTGTTGCACAGGTCCTGCTTTACCTTGGTCTTAACCATCCAGAAGAAAAGTATACAAATGAAATATAAGAAGTAAAGCCATGCTGTTATGTTGAGCTGTAGGGGACTCAGGTCAACAATTTCTGACATTGCCAGTCAAGTGGAAGACCTAATACTATTATGGACTACTGGATTCTTTTAGAATATTTTGCTGAGTTTACACACTTATAATAGTTAAATAACAGAACTTAACAAAAATAGGGGTATAGATGAATGTCCATTTTATATCTGTGTATTCAAAGTGGTTAGGATAGATATATAATTACATTCTCTTAATGAATAGAGGGATTTGTTCTAATGGTGTTTGTAAATAGGATATCATGTCCGCATCTTGTACAGCAATTAACCACTGGGAAGAATGTATGCAATGTGTTAATTATTGAAACTGTCAAGGGCCAGGGAGATGGCTCAGTGGAATAAGTGCTTCCCTGGCAAGTGCAAGGGCCTGAGTTCAATCCCCGGTTCTGCAAAAAAAAATTATTGAAACTGTCCTACCAATTTGGTTTGAAACTGTCTCATTGCTATTTGTTTATCAATAAAATTATGGGGAAAAAAGAAAGAAAAGATAAAAAAATAAATAAAAAATAAAGCACTAAGTGAAATCACAACCATAAACATGTGCAACTGGGCTGAGACTAATGCTCATGTAAGCTTACATACACTTTTCTGGCACTGCAAGTCTGCTTAAAACCATACAAGTTGCCAGTATTTGGGTCATAACTCAAGACTTTGGTCATAAGTTAAACCTAAAATTCTGGTCATAACCCAAGTTGTTTGTACATAAGGCCAGTCATAACTCAAGGGTCCACCATACACAGTGCTAGAAACACTTTCAGTTATACTTGTTTCAAAGACCATTTCTCAATCTACTGTAAACCATTTTTAAAAACTGAAGCCTTTTACCAGGCAGGTATTTTATATTTTGATGAAATATAATTCACCTTTAAAAAGTAGTTTTGGAAATATTCATTGTCCAAATGCTGCATAATGGATCACCCCAAAGCTTGGACCATAAACATTTATACCTTCATGATTTCTGAAGATCAGAAATAAATTTTTATGACTTTAAATGGGAAAATAATAATGCTCTAAGTATTAACCCAAATTCTATCATGTAACTAAAAAATAGAAAGTATAAACCTAAGCAATAAATTATGATGTTTGGATATAAAATGGTTAAAAGATTCACTATGTGACTGTCAACAATTAATATGATTGGTCATTGCCAGTTCTTTTGCATGTAGTAATATGAATTTTCTTAGGGCCAGCAACATTTGAAATTCATTAAACACATGAAAGGAAGAAGCAAGGTATGATGCTTTGGAAGTGACAGTAACAGCAAGGAGGCGGCCTTCTCCACTCCAAGTCCAGTGGAAAAATTACTCAGTTCACAGTGTAAATTAAGAAAACTGAAAACAGATAAAATCTACAAACTATAATCTTGATAGAGAAAAGTGATAGTTACCTTTCCTTTATAATATTCAGCAATCAACTTGCTAAGTGTTGTTTTTCCTGAACACTTAGGTCCGAATATGAATACTTTACATGGTGGTGCTGGCATAGGTGGAAGAAGATAGGGACGTGGGTTCAATAAAAATGTTTTTAATGCTTCTTCTGATGAAAGACAGTATATCTTACCTAGAAAACTTAAAACATGCCATAATAATAAACAACTGAAAACATGGATGGGCAAGTTTTAAAGTTAAGCTCTGAAAAATCTTACTTACCTCACAGAAAAATCAGGTGATCCTGCATAAATGTTACCTTCCTTTAAAGCCACAGGACATACACGTCCCCATCGGCTCCTCTGCCATTTGTATCTTGGGGCAATAAGTTTACAAGATGCAAGAGTACGGAACAGCTCTTCCTGTGAACAAACAAATTGTACATTTAAAAATGCTGTATAAGTTTTGCTTGTTATGGTTTGTGTCTAGTTGTCCCTCCCCCGACAAAGCCTCATGTACACATAGGGTGGACTTCCAGAGTTTGTGATTTACTCATGATCCATTGGGATTATGGATGTGAGTGCTTCTGGGATTATGGGTATGAGTACTACACCCAGCTTGGAGTGGACAGTCTGAAGGCAACTTAAAGGAGACAGACTTGCTCTCTGTACTCTGTAACCATTGCTGCCACTGCTCCTCCCTCTGCTCTCTGTTCTTTGCTGCTGCCATGAAAGTTTGCTCTCTTCCATGTGCCGCTCTGCCTTGGAGCCAGCTTAGTATGGACTGAAACTCCAGTAACTGAGCTAAATAAACCTTTCCTTCCTCATTTTGAGTGTCAGATATCTGTCACAGCAAGAAGAAGAAGAGAGCAACTAAGACATTGCTAAAATGAGAATATTAAATATTTCATTTCTTACTTTATAGAGCTTTCCTGCTTACGGAATAACTGATAGTGCAAATTTTGGCTTTCTTCCTAATCATCACATTTTGCACCACCTCTAGATTAATAAGAGTAGGATTCATTTTTGCAAGAAAACCTTACTTAAGCATAAGCATAAAATAGACCATTTTCTATTTTATAAAATAGAAAAATAGCTTCAAAAATAAAGACTCTGAAAACTTCTTAATGAAAAGGTTTTAAATGTGCCAGATTCTTAATTTAGTAACACATGGAAATAGTGAGATATTATGTACAATTTTATTTACTCATTCTATAAGTGGTTCTTTCATTCTTAAAGTTTTTAAGACTTCCTCAACAACCCTTGCTGACAGCGACCTGAAGAAGTTAAGCAATTTGTCTCTATAGATTGCATGATTGAAAAGTTTACATTCCTATGTCACCCCAGCAGGAGGAGAGAACTGGAGAGGGCCCAGCAGGAAACTGTCAAGAGAATAGGCTAGCTCTTTCCACCCCTCAGACATGGGTGGCACAGGCATCAGCTGGCCCCAGAATTGATCATGGAAATCGGATAAGATGGTCATTGTGGGCCTGTGCCCCTGCAGTATCTGAGACCATGAAAGAACATGGGCAAGATGCTGTCTGCAGAGTAGAGGGCAGGAAGGAAAGCTCAGGGGTTAAAGAGCTATCCAAGCCTAGAGCAGCTATAGAAGATTGAAAATCTCCTCTGTGGGGCACAGATGCAAACAGCTCTCTCCAGAGTCACAGACAACAAACTAGTACAGAAATAGCCCAGAGAAGTTAGGGAGCATCATTCTGTTCTCATCTGTGCTGAACATGGTGAAACAGGCCACATTCCCTCTTAAACACACTTCTGGGTGCTGAGAGGAGACAACAGCAGCTTTGGAATATTATTGACATTATAGCCATAAAGATAACAGAATCATCGTGCTAGTTAAACAACACAGACTGATTGTATTCATGCTTTCTTGAAACCTATAAAAAATTATAGAACAATTTTTTAAAAATGAATAAGCTGATAAGCACATAGAGAATGGGAGAAGAGACCAAAGATATTGGCAGAGTTGACAGCTTACCTACCAGCTGTGGATACAGTTTTGTAAGCCAGACATCAAAGAGTCTAAGAGTGGTACCTGACTTGGAAAGATGAAAACTAAATATCCATGGTAGCAAAGATGGAAGAGATGGGCAGTGGGGGAATAGCAAGAAGCCAGATGATTCACTCTGAAAACTTCTGGAAAGTTTAGCTCAGTATACATATCCTTTCTTCCACCTCCTACTGTGTCTCTGTGTCCATCAGAAGACTGAAGCCTACTCAACCAGAAAATCATTCAAAATGGACTCAGCCACGGATACAGCTAGGTAGAGTAGGGTGGAGCCCCAGAAAGTTGGCAGACAGCTATTGTCTGTAAGTACCACACCTACCTGAGCCTCTCAGAACCACCTCTGGACTTTCCCCATACAGCACTTAGATTATGTATTAGTATAAATTTATGATGTGTAATAATTACATTCATCATGGGGAACTGGTACATATATGTCACCTTAATCTGTTACTCTTCCTTCCTCTCTCCTATCTACTCTTTCCCTCCATTCCAAATCCCCTTCACATTTCTGAAAAGTCTACCTCTCAATTTCCTATCATCTTCTTTCATTTTGTACTTTAAATTATTTATACTTTAGGTTTCTTACATAAGAGAAGCCATGTGATATTTAAGCTTGTATATGTGATTTATTTCATTTAGCATTATGGTCTCAAAATGCATCCTTTGCTAGGCATAGTGGCTCATACTTGTAATCCTAGCACCTGGAAAGCTGAGGCAAGAGGACTGATGAGAATTCAAGGCCAGCCTGAACTACACACTGGTTCAAGGCCAGCCTGAGCTACATGGTGAAACTCTGCCTCAAAAACCAAAATAAAACAAAAGATGCATTTTTTTCTAACAAATGACTTAAATTTCTTCTTCTTTATGTCAAAGTAATACTCCATTGTGTGCAAATACCATGTTTTCCTTATCCATCATCTGTTGACAGTCATATAGGCTGCTTCCAAGATTTAGGTATAATGAGTTGTGATGCTATAAATACGGCTATGCATGTATTGCTGCACTATGAAGCTATTTAATTTCTAGGGAAGATATATAGAAGAAGTGTACCTGGATCAAATAGAATTTCGGTTTTTGGTATTTTCAGGAATCATCATCCTGACTTCTAAAGTGGATATAGTTGTTTACATTCCTATGAATGGTTAAGAACCCCCATACCTGCCGTCTCATAGGCATCTGTTGGTTTTGAGTTCTGGATGATAACCATTTTTTCTGGAGCAATGCAGAATCTCAGTGCTTCTTTGGTTTGATTTCTCCAATAACCAAAGAAAGCACCTAATTATTGCAATCTCTGCAAGAGCTCAGCTTTGTAACACTGCTGTGATTGGGTGAATGATCTTCTGGGATAAAATTAAAATTTATTATTTTGTTCCAAAACAAGAGTAAAGCATTAAAGTAAGGTGAGGCCCTTCTAAGAACACAATCTTGTGTGAAGTCCATGAAGATAGCTCTGACTCCCTGACCTGACTGTTAGGTATTCTGAATGTCACTGCTGGTCCCAGACACTCTACAAGTACAGTGTTATGTGAACCTTACAATAATGCTATGCATAGGAGTTACTGCCCATGTGCTTTTACCACTGAATAAAAGGGAAGATACATAGTCACAGACCTACTGTGAAGGTCTGGCTGGAAACCAATGCTGTAGCTTCTGGCATGCTGGGTGCCAGTCTGAGGCTGTTCCTACCCAGATACCTCCTCCTGTCTTCCAACTCAAGTGATACGGCTTTCACACTGCTCATCAGGACTGGAATCTCCAAGAAGGTCTTGGTTCCTCTCTTGCACCTTTAAACCAGTGAGTTTTTTCTCTGGCAGCATAACAGAATGTCCTAGGGAGGGTTTCTATTTTTTTAATTGCCATAAAATATACATAGCTTAAAATTATCATTTTAACTATCTTAAGTGTCTTATCAAGTAAATTCAGTGTCCCACAACTATCACTGCTGCACTTCCCAGAAATTTTCCATCATCCCAAACAGAAAATCTATCCATAATTCCCTATTTTTCTTACTCTAAATTCCTAGTATCTTCTATACTACTTTGTGTTCCTATTTGTCTATTCTAAGTATTTTATTTAAGTGGAATGGTAATATTTTTGTGTGTCTGGCTTATTTTACTTAGCATAACAGCTTTAAGATTCATCCATATTAAATCTTATATCTTTGTATTTCTTTTTAAAGAATGCATATTGGTGTGGAGAGCTTCCTGCTACCCTGCACTGACAGGACCAGTCCAAGCACAGGCGCAGTGTGGGCCGGACCCTCTCCCACGCCATTGGGCCACCCCCCACCACTCCGCAGTACCACCCCAACCAGCCCGACAAGTAGGAATTTCTGCCGCATTCCGGGAAACCACACACCCAGTTCTGGCCCAGGTCCAGTGAGTGTGTGGAGAGCTTCCTGCTACCCTGCGCCAGCGGGACTAGTCCCAGCCCAGGCTCAGCGTGGGACAGACCCTCTCCCACCCCCTCGGGCCGCCACCCACCACTCTGCAGTACCTCCCCCACTCCACCGCCGAGTAGGAATTTCTGCCGACTTCTAGGAACCCCCAGACCCAGTCCTAGCCCAGGTCCAGTGAGTGTGTGGACAGCTTCCTGCTACCCTGAGCCAGCAGGACCAGTCCCAGCCCAGGTGCAGTGTGGGCCGGACACTCTCCCACCACCTGGGGCGGCCATACACCACTCCTCAGTACCTCGCAGACCCCACCAACTGAGTAGGAATTTCTGCCGAGTTCGGGGAACCCCCAGACCCAGTCCTAGCCCAGGTCCAGTGAGTGTTTGGAGAGCTTCCTGCTACCTTGCGCTAGTGGGACCTGTTCCAGCCCAGGCGCAGCGTGGGCCAGACCCTCTCCCACCCACTTGGGCCGCCCCCCACCACTCTGCAGTACCTCCCCTACCCCGCCCACCAAGTAGGAATTTCTGCTGCGTTCCGGGAAACCCCAGGCCCAGTCCGAGCCCAGGTCCTGTGAGTGTGTGGGAGAGCTTCTTCTTCCCCCTACTTCACCTTGCCCCCTCCAGGCATAGCTCAGGCTTGGCATACATGCCTGGGGTGTAACCCTGCAGCTGCAATCCCTGCAGAGAGTGTAGAGGATAGACCCAACCAGCTAGTCCAGAAGCAGAACATCTTGCCACAGAGGCACAACAGGTTCACTCTCAAGGGCAGCAGCGGGAAGGAGCTGAGCACAGAAGCGAGACCCAAGCCAGATGCAGCTGCATAAGCCTAAACTTTGTAGAGCTGCACCTGAACATCAGTACGTGAGAAGGTTACAACTACAGCAAAGATCTACAACAAAGGGCAGAAGACAGTGCTACACAAAACGACGAGAAGGAACAAAATGCAACCTCAGAACCTAAGCCCACCTGTAACAAGTGCAGAGGACACTAATACAGAAAAAGTTGC